AAAGCCTCGATCAGGTGCAAATAGATGTATTTCATACCCTAAACCAGTATTTTATGTCTGTTGGGTGGCCACAGGTCTACTTTTTTTACTTCTGCTGAATTACCAGTAAGGACTGATTATGGATGAAGGCAGGGGATGGTCCACAGAAAGTTTACTTGCTCCATATGGAAGTAGAAGTTTGTCTTAGATGCCTGCTTTCTGGTTTCTGTTGTATAATACAGAAGAAAAAGTCTTGATTACTTAGGTTTAATCTATGCACTCAGAAAGCTTTTTCTGTGGAGTCTGCATTTTCCTTCATAATTACCTGCACTTGAGGAAGTGGGACAGCTCATGGCATACATGAATTGCAAGTGTGGAATTTTTGCTGGGTTTGTGATCAGATGAATAAAGATTCTTGGTATGTCTGAATATTAATAATAGTAATTTTCTTCTAGATTCATGCACATACCATCCAGGTGTGCCAGTCTTTCATGATGCTCTCAAAGTAAGTATGCAACTATCCTTTTAAGTCTTATATTTTTTTCCATATATGTAAAACAATATGCTTATTTTCCTTTTTAATTCCAAATCTTTCAGTGTTGTAGAAACTGATGTTTGGCCTATCATGTTTGAGCAACCCCACGATATTAGAAAAGTACACTTATGCAAACCTGAAGAAGATATTAAAAACTGTACTCGTATGGTCTAAATGCCACACAAGTCTGTATGACACGTTTCCTATTGATTGATTCTAGGTGTCTCAACAGTTTAATTAGTTCTCTGAATAGGTCTTTGAAAGCACTGAGAGGTGTCATTGTCTTTCAGTCAATTAACCTGCTTGGAATTCACACCAGCTGCTTGTGGTCTTATGGGGGCTTGAGCACTAAAGTGTATGTAACATTTGCCTACTGTAAAAAACAATTTTGTTCTGTTAATCAGCCAAATGAGAATGTTGGTTAGGCTGGGACTGATCACCGATGCCTCTGATGTAGCTGTCCAGGATTCTTGGGCTACATCTTCAGTAGTGAATTAAATATACCTGTGACTGATCTCCAGTGCTTAGGCCAAGTGCACAGCCCATATTCATTGTATTAAACTGTTTTCCTGCTTCAAGATCTACTGGATGCATCTGAAGTGCCTACGGGGAATTATTTGAGACACAACTACCAAAACAGTACTGGAAATCATTCTAACAGTTTAATTGTGTATGGTCAGAAATCTGGTGTCCAGAAATGGAGCCTGGCACTGTTTACTGTATTAATACAAATGTAGCCTAAGTGACCTTTCTTAGGACACCAAACTGCTATTTAACCGAACTTTGGGGCAAACATTTTTTTTCTTGGTATATAGGAAATGCTGCTACTGGCAGTGCACCTCATCCCTGTCCCATAATGTGGTGTCTTCTGGGTTCATGGAAGCTTGTGCCTGTGTTCTGCGTAGCGTGTTGTCTGTGAGCGATTGCTCGTATTGCAGTATGTGGCTCTGCAATTGGCCATTGTGTGCCACTGTCAAATTGGGATGGATCCTGTTAGATCAAATAAGATAGTGTTACTTAGGCCATGGCAGTTTGCCTTGTACAAAATTATAGCTGTACGCATAACACTGTATATAAAACTTCTACCTAATTATAAAAACAGAAATTACACAGTTACCTCAAAAGCTTGTGTTTACTCCCTCTTTCTCTTATATACGCACCATTTTTAAAAGACGTACTACTTTTCCCCCTCTCCTTATTCTATCCCTTGGCCTAATTAAAAATGTATCATAATTTGGTATGAGCAGTTTTCTTCCTGATACAAATTCTAGGTAATCGAAGTGGCCAGTGTGAACCTTTTGTCTCCTCGACTCTGGAAAGAGTTAATATTTTGAGCATATTTGAGAACCACCTACCTAAAACCCATTGTGTTGCACTGCTTAAGCTCTCAAAGCAATGGTGCATTTATTAGTCAAACTGTTGCCTTTAATAAGGTTCTTTGTGAATAATGTATCTTACAACTCAGCGGCAAGATAATTTTCTCTAAAATTGAATTTCTGGTTTATATAATAAAAAGTGCTTTTGATTGATGTAGTTGAATAGATGGCTATGCAATGCAGGTATCCAGCTTTGTGGTGGGATAACAAGCAGTTGAAGGACTTGACTAGTGCTCAAGGAAAGAAAAAAATCTTCATCATTTTAGGAAAGGGGCCTGTACGTTCTGCCACAGGTGAGCCTAGTCTCAGGTACAGTACTTGTTTTGTTTATGTGTTACTTTATGAGATAAAGTAACATTTCTGTCCTACAGACTTGGCATCTAACTTGTCATGGAAATACTGCCTCATATTTATGGAACTTTCTGATTAAGGCAGCATGAGTGAACTAGAAATGGCAGCTGTAACAGGTTTCTCTGGCCTTTAAAAATGCAGGTGATGATAATATCGTCCAAAGAAGGGAAGAAAATTATCTCTAATCATGATGTGCCACATCTTGTAAAGGATTATAATCAGTCTTTTGCTTTTTATAAACCGTTGCCAAGTAAGGTATTCATGCTTGTTTTGTTTTTATTCCGAAATGTTTATAGGGTTGGTCATGTTGTAAGAGAAGAACAACGGACTTTTCTGACTTTTTAAGCATTGTGGTATGTACTCATGATTATTTACAATTTTTATACTTGTCAAATGACAGTTATAAATGCTACGTGTACTTACATGTTTAAAATTTGCATACGTTCATTAAAACTGTCTTAAATCTTGCATGCACTATTTTTCTTGATATAATGTTGAAGTTGAGTCTTATTTTCAAGCTTTAATGGTTATAATTCTATCAAAACCTATTTAGGTGTTTGTTAACAATGAAGGAAGGTCAATGTTTTTGTTACTTTGCTCGATTATGGAAAGTATGTGTTTTTCTTTAATGTATGTCCAAATGAAGATATTTCCACTTTAGTTGTAGGATTTCTTTTGCAAATAGTGTTTAGAGTGGGCTAAAGGAGAAGATGGGGCTGAGGAAATAAATGAAGAAAACTTATTGCAATTTTTGATAATTTTTAATTTTGCACGCAAACTACACTTCATATATATAAAAATATGCTTTCTACAATAGGGCTGTACAAAGGGTCTCCATAACAGTGAGAAACCTCCTGAGCCTGTTAAACCAGAAGTCAAAACTACCTCTGAACGAAAGGAGCTAGCTGAAGTGAAACCCAAATTTCAAGAACGCATAATTCAGGCACCAAAACCATTGGAAACAATTAAAAGGCCAAGGTACGGTATATGAAACTTAAGTTTTGCCAAATATGTGGTCAGTTGGCCAAGTTAAAGCTCATTTGGTTATTCGGTGTTACACATCTCATATAGTGTAAAAACTCCCAAATTAACTTTAAAAGAGCTTGTGTTTGGTAGCACCAATGATGTTATCTTAAGCTTCAAAATGAGATAAAAGAATTCTGGTTAGGACAAAGTAGTACTGGATCTCTCAGCATTTAACTTCACAGGAAACAAAAGTTGCAGTCTATAGACTCATAGCTTAGAATGCCAGTGGAAGCTGTGTTTAGTGTTTTAAACAGAAAAAATAATTTAGGGTGCTTGTATTTAGATTCCTTAATCTCTGATTTATTTTTATTGTTGTAGAGTATTTAGGTTTTCCTGTTGAAAGCCAAGGCTGCCTTCTAAATTTCTAGTCTGTTTTTCCATAAACAGTGAGAATTGGCATTTACAAATCTAGTTTGTTTATTTGTTGTTGTAAGGGAGGCTGGAAAGGAAGAACCTTATAGCAAGATTAAGTGTTACTACTTTGTTGTCTTTTGTAAATTATTTTTCATGAAGCTGACATGAATACATGGACATTTTTTTAGCCCAGATGAGCCAATGACAAATTTGCAGCTGAAAGTGTCAGCTTCCTTGAAGCAAGCACTAGATAAACTGAAACTGTCATCAGAAAATGAAGAGAAAAAAGGTAAGGATATAGAGATGTTAAGTAGGTATATGATGCTAATTGTCACACAAATAAATTAAATACTGGGTTTTTGTTGTTTTTTCTGAAGTGATTATTTCATGTAATTATGTTCTTGTTCTTAATAGTCTGGGAAATAATTTCCAGTCTAGGGAACGATAATCGGAGTTTAAATGTGAACAATGTGGAGACTTGGGTGTTAGGAGCAGTATGTTGCCATTAAAATTATTTGAACTGCCTGTTTTGTAAGATCTTCTGGTTAGAATGGACATGATGGGAATATCCATTTCTGAACATATGACTGAAAGAGTTCCCAAGAAATGAACTCTATTCCTATGTTACTGTAAACGCAATGTTGTATAAAGCCTTTCATAAACTGGTGATATTCCGTGGAAGACTAGTTGGTTCTTCCTTGTCTGGTTTTCTTCTTTTTTAATTCCCAGAGTTTATTTGGAATTTGATTCCAAAACTACACTGCTCCTTAAGAAACACTTTCTAATTTCAACCTATATTTGTGGCAATTTTATACTCTTTTGTTCTTGTGCCAAAACTGTCATATAGCTCTTCTTTCTACTTGATATCCAAATTCTTTCCTTGTGTATATTTATAGGCAGCAGTTGGAAACGTTTACATTCTTAGTTTTACAAAGCCAGACAAGATGAGTGATTGTTCTCTTCCTCTGTGATTGTAATAATACTTTTCATCGATTCCCACCCCCGCACCCCCCATTTAAAACAGTGTAAAGGTATAGAACCTAGAATGTGGTGCATAAGTAATACAGCTTTTGGAATGTTTGCATAATTTCTGTTTCTTTGTACCTTTCTGGCAACTTTCAGTGCCAGGCAGAAAATAGACAGCTTTAGAGTTTTTGGTGGGGTTTTTTTTGTTTGTTTGTGTGGGTTTTTTGGTGGGTTTTTTTAATTATTATTTTTTCATGTACTCTTTAGCTCATTTTAATTCTTAATAAAAGCAAAATATTTAGTACATTATACAATTCAGTTGCTATTTTCTATAATATGATTCTGTTTACAGAGGAAGACAGTGATGAAATCAAGATTGGGACGGCATGTAAAAATGCAGGCTGTTCAAAAGTAAGTGGTTCAGTTCCACTCTTAAACCCAGCTGCTAAACTATTAAGTGCACAGTTGTGTTTTCCTTTCTTGGGTGTTTTTTCGTGTGCTACAAATTGATTTGTAAAAGGCACAAAGTCCATCAGGCTTAACAAATGCACATTTGATAACACACTTTAATATGGACAAATGTAGGCTGGTTTGTACTATGCATGCAGTAAGTCTAAGATTACTTTTTTTTAAGCCTGTCCTGAACTTCTAATTAATAAGGTTGCCAAACCCGTGATACTGACAGGTTTCAACTTAAAATGTTAAATATAATATTGGTAAGAGGTAGCTTACTGATAACAGTTGAATTGCTCTTGATAATCTGTGTATAGGTCAGAAGCATCTGCAGATCTTATCAGTTAATGCTTCCTGCCAGGAGAATCCACAAAGAAAATACTTTAACACTTCTAGTGCCAAAATTAGTCTTTATATTGTATAGTCATTTAAACTGAAAGTTTTTTGCACTGACATCCTTGTGTTGTACAGAACAGGACAGTAGAATTTAAGTAGGCATTTCACTGAACATCTGGCAGATTTTGCATTTTCTACTGAAACTCTGGTGGGAGGAGAACTGATAGCAGTCTTTTGTTTCTGTTAGGAAAAACTGATCTGATATTTAGTGGCAGAGTTGTGTATTGTTTCATTTACTTCGTTTTGAGAATCCATGGGTTTTATGAATGATAAATTTAATTTGTTTTCCAGTTAAGTACTTGTTTTCTCTGAATATTTAGAGTATTTTTAAGGATAGATCTCTCTGAGGATCTAAAGTGACCTTGGTGAGCACAGATGGTGTCACGATTGATGTACGCCATTGAACTACTACAAAGTATAGCTTGTTAGAAGGAGTGCCAGGGAACCTTCTGTGAATGAGGGTTAAACGATTACTTTGAAAAGCTAGGGGAAACAATTAAATCTATGTTATTTACTCAAAGCTTTGTAGTACTTTGTTCAATGTTTCTGTTGTGGGTTGTGTTTGGTTTTGTTTTTTCCTTTGGTCCACATCCTGTAACAGTAATACACTTTAAATGCTTTGTTTTACTAGACATACGAAGGACCACATAGCACAGAAGAAGTATGTATATACCATTCTGGTGTACCTATATTCCATGAAGGGTTAGTATTCAATTAACTTTAATTTTTTTAATTAGTCTATTATGTGTTCCTGCTTTTTTTGTTGCCTTGTTCTCCTTCTGTATTTCTTCTTCCGTCAAAAATGGCAATGCTTGAAGAGGGTGTAGCAGTAATAGTGCATAAGGGAAAGATCTTAAATATTTGCAGTAGATAGTGTCCTAAATATTGTTTGTTAATTATTTTGTGACCTTTCAAGGATGAAGTATTGGAGCTGTTGTAAAAGAAAAACATCTGACTTCAATACATTTTTAGCTCAAGAAGGCTGCACAACAGGAACACACGTATGGACTAAAAAGGACGCGGTAAGTATCATTAACGGTGCATTCTGTAGCTGGCCGTTCTGAATTTTGAATACTGAAATGTAGTTAGTAGCTTGCTTGAGTTATAGATGTAGTTGAACTGTTACAGATCACTACTTCTGAAATAATATGGACAATACTGTGCACAGCATGACAACAGAGAAATGGAGTTTGAAGTAATCTGTGGTAGAAGTACACCTGTAATAGAGTACAACCTTTCTTTTTAGTGGTACATATATATCACTATTTTATAGTAAAAGTTTTTTTGGCAAATTCAGGAAAAAAAAAATGGCAGTCTTTTATGTTTTGTTATTAAGAAAGTTTATAATATTCCATATAGAAAATATTCCATATATATTACTTTAAAATAAGGTTATTAGAAGTCTTTCCTCTCCCAAAGACTGTAAAGAGAGCAGCCATACATATTCCGTAGTAAAATAACTGTACTTCCAGTTTGAATCTGAGTAGTTGAGTTGTTGTTTAGGTAGGGATGGCAGGGCAGATGAGGTCCATGAGGTTCTATGGGTGGAGGGGTGGGGATGGAAGGGTTTTTTCTGTCTAATTTGGATTCTCTTTATGTATCTGAATATTTTTCTGCTCTGGATCTAGTTGAGTGTTTTGATTTGGCTACCAGCATAACAAATACAGACAGAGCACCTGTTTAGTTTATAGGTATTTCATTGCAGTGTTGGGAACAAACTGCAGAATTACAAGGTGAAAAATATTTCTGTTCAAGGTTTAAAAAGATTCTTAGAGAATGTTATAGAATGTGATAATCGAACTGAACACTTACTTCAAAAACACTAGCTGGTCACAGGTTGGATGCAGGTGAACACAAAATTCTTATTATGGATATGTTGTCTATTGCTGAGGCAAAATGAGTTTGATACTGTAAGCATCAGAACACGTAACAGAAGAAAATGAAGATATATTCTAGAAAGTGTAGTTCTGTTACCTCGTTCTACAACAATTACTTCACAAATCCTTTGCTTCCTTGAAGTCATGGAATTACTGCTTGCTTTGAAGATTTATGTTTGTGTTTAAGAATTATTTTCAAATATAGAAAGGAGAGGCTAAAAAAATAACAAAAAAAAAAAATCCAAGCTGCAGTTGTGAGCCTAAAGCAGGAGAGTATTCTTGTAAAGAATTTACCCAGATGTTAAGAAACTATGTGTATATTTAATGTGTGTATATTGAGATAATGGGCTTCTAGCTAACAGGATTTTTTTTACTTTACCTTTTTGTTGTTATTTTGTTCTTCTTCACCGTTTATTTTTGCTGCATCAGAGAACAAGGGTAATATGCAATCATTTTTTGCAGTAATATGAAAGTTTCTTGGATTCATGGCTTGCTTTTTCTTTATTCAGTTCCTTTCTACAACCTGTTGGATAACTGTAGTCTTGGAAAGGAAATTAATCCAACAACTAACTTTTTTGTTGCTTTTGGGGATTTTTTTAGTTGCGTGGGTTTTTTTTCCCTATCACAATATCCCAATTTCTTACTATAGTCTGTCATATAGCATTAGTTTTCTCACTTCTAATGTTTGTCAGGGACCAGTTGCTGAAATATTTACTAAAAAGAGATGTAAATGGAGTCTTGCAATCTCCTGTGAACATGAAATATCTAGTCTTTTATTAGCTATGCTTATTGGCTATTAAAATATATTAAAATAAAATGTAAAAATATTAAAATTCAGGCTTTTATCCTGATTAATCTTGTAAAAATACTCCTGAATGTGATTTTAAGTCTTTTTTTCTATACCTTTTTCCATATATAGGGTAAGAAAGTAGTTCCATGCAGGCATGATTGGCACCAGACTGGAGGAGAAGTGACTATTTCTGTATATGCTAAAAACTCTGTTCCTGATCTAAGCTACGTAGAGGCAAATAGCACAATGGTGAGTGTCTACCTTTAAGATGTAATTATTTTTTTTAATTCTTACAGAAGCTTGAAGTTGGGAAAATCTGGCTTCTACTTTATTTACAAGACAGAGGTAGCATAAGAATCTTTTTTGAGTAACGACTTTTTCTTGGCATTTGTGTTTGTGCAAGTATGTATAGCTTTTTTTTCCCCTTCTGTTTGGACATCTGTGCTTTAATGGGGTTTTTTTGGTGTGGTGGGTTTTTTTTTTAAAGCTGCAATATAATATCTCAAAAAAAATATCTTTACTTTGACTTCTGCAATGAAAACCCGAGTGTGATGGATTTGCATCACTATATATGTAAATAATTGCAGATTCATAATTTAATTGTATTTGGCTTAATGTAATTTAATACTGTTCTTCATGGTACGCAGTTTCACAGCTACTAATATTAAACAAGTGTTGAAATGCTTTTCTGATTTCTTAATCACGTGTTTAGAGAAAATGATAGAGCTTCCAGGATGTATCTATGGCCACTATTGGCTACAATGCTGTATCAGAATCTGTGTTAGAATCAGATACTGTATTAGAATAGATTTTCATTTCTATGTCTGAGGAACAATTTGATCACTTTGCTCATTGATTTGCTAATGTGATACATTTTGCTTAAACATACTTGAGGTGTCAAATGTTTTATTAGGCTGACAAAATTTTCTCTTGTTTTTCCTCTTAAGTTAAATATCCATATTGTATTTGAAGGAGAAAAGGAATTCCATCGCAGTGTGAAATTATGGGGAGTAAGTATAAGAATAATTTTCTATTTTAATAAAAAAACCCAAACCACAAACCCTCAGCTTCCTCTCTTTTGAAACTGTTTGTTTTTCCTTGTTGCTCTGCTTATTGAAAGAAATTCAGTTGCATGTCATTCAGCAATTACATTTAAATCTGAATCTAGTGCCCCAAGTGATCAGGTATGACATCATAGTTGATGCTGCTTTGAGCAGAAGCTGACCTCCTGAGATCTTTTCTGATCCCAACACCATGATAGTGGTGTTGCAGAAAACCCTTGACACTACGTAGTTGCATGCTTATGTATGTGTTAGACCAGTGTATATGTTATATATGCATAGGCATATGTTCATAGCTTGGGAAGGGGAGAGGGCTGACTTTCCTAGATACAGAGGGAACTCCAGCTACATAAACATCTACTGAAACTTAGTGATAAGGTACTCTTCCTAACTTAATTCCCAAGTATCTAGCAGTCTGTTTCTTAAACTGAAGTGTGAAATATGTTTTCTGTTCTAGGTAATTGATGTAAAGAGGAGTTATGTGAACATGACGGCTACAAAGATTGAGCTTACTATGAGAAAAGCAGAGCCCCTATTATGGGCAAGTCTTGAACTACCAGTACCCAACACACAACAAAAAAAAGAGAATTCAGATCAATAATGATTCCAAGAGACAAGTTATTTCCCATTATGAAGTGGTGACTTGCTACTGTAATCAAATACTTAACTTTTGTATAGATTCGGGGTTTTTTTATGCTAGATGATGTGTTCCTTTCTACAAAGAAATTTGACGCACAGTAAATGGGGGTGTAAACTTGAAGAGTAATAGCTATTGCTGCTCTTGCTCCCATGAGTATATTTATGCTAGTTGGCGTGTCTCCATGGGGATTTAGAGTAAAAGAGCTATTGCCCTTTGCTTACAGCCTTACCTGCCACGCACTGACTGTCCAAATAGATGTGTTCTCAGTCCACTGTGTGTTAATTGTTCAAGTGTTCGGTTTAGTCTGGGTCTACTGGGTAGCACATGTTAAATTTAGCAGTGTTCATTATGAAGCATATGGTAATACAGATACAGAAATCTGAGTTTATGAAGTGATTAGCATGCAGTTTTACATCTAGAATAAAAGGCACAGAAACATAAATATGAAAGAACACTTGTAGACTTGCATTGTTGTCTTCTGAAACTAAGGTTTGTTTCAATACCTATTGGCTTTGGAGGGATAGAATAAATGGTATTTTGGTAAGGATTTCAGTACTTGCTAACTCTTTTGCTATCTTTCATGTATAAAAGCAGGAGATCAGATTAAAATAAAAACAAAGTTGGCAAGAGGGGAATTTTTTTTTTTTTACTCCTGTACCTTTGGTATTTGAATTGTTAAATATAGAAGTGAATAGACAGTGAAATGGTTGAATAACTTAGCATCTCCACTGTGGAGAATGCACAAACAGCAGACTATTGTAAAATTACCAAGGTGCTATATCTATTTGACAGTCTTTAGAATGTATATTCTGTCATATTCTACAACATTTAAAGTTATGAATCTTTTTTCAAAGTAGGTGGATGTAAGTAGTAGGAGAAGCCAGTACACACTGTAGATGTCTCAGGAAAATTATTTCCATGTAGATATGCATAGCTCTTGGTTCTGAGGGTGGTAATCTAAGAACTAAATTTATCTACAGGACAAGTCTTAGGAGAAACAAACAACAAGCTTTAAAATGTCTCAATAATTGTACCTCTGAATTAAAATATTTTAAAGATATTATTTCTTTTGAACTGCATAAGCAGAACATCGGAATTAGAAATCGAGACCTTATTTTTGTTTTCAGTTCTACATCAGTAAATATTTGTGGCTGAAAACAGGATGGTTTTAAAAATGAAGCTTTTATCCAAGCAGCAACACATGCAGTAATGTTGCTTTCTCTTCTGCTTGAAATAGTTTCTTAATTTTGAGTTGCAGCTGAAAGAAAAACAATGTTTTTGTATTAAGTCATGCAAAATGTACACCCTTATTTATTGTGCCAAAACTTACATATGTAAACAAGCAGTCCTGTGGACTGTTGAAATGTGCGGATGCTCACCTACTTACCTTGGCAGACCTGGAATAACGCCAAAGGAAACACGGAATGTAGTAAAGGCATTCTGCAGTTAAATACGATTTCTAAGAATCTTGCTGTTTTCCAACAGGTGTAATTTGACTTGAGCTCAGAGTTCTGTCTCTAGCAGTACTTGAAATCCTACTTCATGCTTAAAGTAGTAGGAAATACATTACCAAAGAAACCGTCCCCAAACACGAAGAAAGTAATACTGGTGCTGTATACATAAAATTTGTTTTGGTGCTGCTTTACCTTCATTTCAAGATCCTGTTTCCTCATTGACTTGGAGGGAGTGTAGTTGCTTACTCCCTTGGGCCCATATTGAAAGTCCCAGCTCTAAGTTCTGCCTGAAAGATTCTATTAACCTCTAATGCATTCTTTTTTTTTTTAATATGAAAATGTCAGGTGCTGTGAAGTGATAAGATGCAAGCTTACAAAAATGTATGCCTGCGAATGGTCGTCTAAAAATTGAACAGTTGTTCCCTGATGTGTTCTGAGCCAACAAGTGAGCTCTTATTAGTGTAATACTGAGAACAATCGCTTCAGTGGATGAAAAATTCTAGATAGCTGTAGCGACTAGCATGCCATCTGTGGTTTTGTATGCAGAACTCTGAACTTGGACAGCAAAATGAGCAGTGCTTAAATGCCAGGATATAGTTCTTACTTAACAAGCAAGTTCAAATGTGTGTCTAGCCATATGGGTATATAAATACCCCAAATCTGTTATGTTTTCCACATTTTTTTAGCATATTTTCAATTTATTTGCATCCTCACATGCATTAGGTTTACATCATGTAAAATCCATTTTAAAGAACTACAAGAGAAATGGAATTTCTTGGGAAAACAGAATTTCTGTTTTTAAGCAAGTCTATATTCTCCCATGGTATACTAAACGCTAAAGGGAGAGAAGTGTGGATGAACAAACCTTCCGCTGTTAATGCTGGAGGCTGTGGGACCCTCTAGCTATTTGTTATGCTCTTTCAAACTACATTCTCCTGGTAGCTGAGTCAGCTTGGCCATAAGTAGAAAAAAGCTCCTGTAAACGTGGTCCGTAGTGTTGCTTTTGCTTTGTATTCATTTCTCTGACTTTTCCTGTAGTTTGTACTTTCAGCACAGAATTAAAGATACTTCAGGAGTTCCATAATGACTTTCCCCATCAGTGGCAATAAACCCACTTTTAAAATTCACCTGTTTAAAAAAGTAAGCAAACAAAAAACCCACAAACCTAGCTTTGCTCAGGCAAGAAGGTGTAGGTTTTACAAATAATAACCTAGTTTTATGTGGCCTGTGATGTTTTTCAAAATAAAAGGATAAATTTTCAGATAGTATAGACTGCCATAACTCTCTTGTTTAACTGCATTCATTCTTAGCGGCTTTTTATAACCATATATCTGCATCCATCATCAAGCTGCAAAAGCTGTATCGGTGAATTTGAGTGTTTTGACCAGTTGCTCAGAACAGGCTGGAACACACCAATGTTTGATTCTGATGTTCCATAAAAAGACATCTTGATGTGGATAGTGGTAGCTGACACTTCAAAGGAATAGTGGTTTGGCTGTAACTTTTATTAGTAAATGTGGAAGGGGAAGTGAAACCGACCATAGTGTACCAAACCAATCAGTTCTCTCTCAAAAGCAGGGTTTGAAAACTAAGTGAAGTGATTTTTTTGATGACTTGGGCTTTCACCTAATAATAACAAAGCTAAATTGCAAACGAGTATGTACTGGAATATTTACTGTTAAATTTGCCCTTTTTTTCATGTTCTCAGAAGTTCTGCTGTATTTAACAAGTTGGTTAACTTGATACAGTCTAGCTATATTTTTATAATTAACAAGTTTTCAAAACCTGTGTGTTTTGCTATGGATTTACAAGTTACACATGTAGACAGCGTGTTATGTGTCCTATGGGTTTACATGTTACACATGTAGACAGCATGTTACACATCTCAGAACTGACTGGCCGGGTGCATATAAAACTTTTCCTTCACGATCCCTTTTTAATACAAAAAATTGTGTACGTATGCAAGTTTGTGACAGAAATCTTAATCTTTTCCCTCATGTAGAAGCCCATTTTCCTACCTGGCATTACATATTACATCTGTAACACCGTTTCTTGGAGGAGACAGAGTTTACTTTGGATGTTAATAGACTGTTAAGCACTGGGCTGTTCAGCTACTCTGACTCACGTTTTACATGGCACTGATGTAACTTGACAAAAAAAATCTTCCATTGGATGAGTTTCTGAAACCTGTACATTATCAAGTCACCATTTCAGTAGTTTAGGGATTAGTTTTACTAGGAATTTTGCCTTGAAAAAAAAATGTACTTAATCGATGTAATGATGCATTTCTTGCTTGCATTCTTTAAACATGGCATGAGTATTGTTTAAATACTGTACCTGTTAATCATTGGTCTTTCTGACTTCCTACTGAATTTTTTTTTATCTCCGTTCAGGAACCAGATCCTTTTTAAAGTAACGAGTTACGTGTCTGGAACACTGTGTTAAGGTGGTAATAATTTTGCCATTATATGAGTCTTGAATTACAGTTGAAGGGGGAAGATGTCTTTTTGCATGGTTATTTGATTCTGCACATTCATAAAACTTATATGCAGAAATTAATCTCATGTCTTCATGCTCTAGTTTTTTTCTAAATGTATTCAATAAAATTCTTATTACATGCTGGTTGCATTTGGGGTTTTTTTTGACTTTTGTTATGGGAGAGAACTTCCCTTTGGATTCAACACAGTTGTTGAAATAGAATGTAAGTGGGCATTTTCCACAGGTCAGTCTATATACGAGGGAAACCGTGTGGCAAAGGGTTTTTCCCCACCCCTTGGTTTCCTTCTCTGCCTGTTGCTTTCTGGCACAACAGCCCAGTCAAGATACGTTAAGTTTTGCAGGAATTTGAGTGAGTGTGGCTGCTCGGACAGGGGCCTGTCTCATTCACGGAGATTGTTCTGTTCAAGAATTTTGAGCTGTCACAAACTTACTGGAACTGGAATAATTCCAAATACAATGTTTGGGCTGTTTCTAAGAATGCTGAAGATATTATAACTTTGCTGCTTTTTTTTCTATTTTTCTTGGTTTCTTGGAAAAAGGAAGAAGATACCTGTCAAAACCTCTAGGATTCCCACAATGGAGAGGAAAAAGATTCATTTCTTGGGGCGTAAAGTTTTTTATGGTAATAGAAACTTCATGTTTTCTCAAAGTTTGGGTAGGTGTTTTAATCAAAGATAGCCAAGATCCTGTTACAGACGTTATAAAGTAATCCACAGTGACTGCACCAAATGATTGTTAGTCAAGCAAATTCAGTTTGTCTGAGTTTGTCTGCAAAATGAAGGGTCGGTGTTGGGGAGGTAGGATGTTAGCAGGAAGGAGGACGGGCAGGCAAAGAGCACGGTCCTTAAGACCTCTCTGTAGGCAGCACAGATTTCAACCCGTGTTCATAAAGTCAACATTTTTCTGTTCCACTTCTGAACATTTTGTTTTCCTGACACAATGTTGGTGTGAACAGGAACGAAGAGCTGCTGTGCATTGACCACTGTCAACTACGCATTTGTAGTCAGTCCTGTGAGCCTAAAAGGAAAGGGGCAGTAGGAACAGGGACCTGTACTCCGGAGGTACGTGAAATGTGTTTTTCTTTAGCTTAATTGATCAATGTATATGATGACTGATTCTGGCTATCCAGAAAGCGTGCAGGTTTTTTTGTAGCCAGTGTGCTTCTGTGTGAGAAGGAAGCATCCTCTTGAATAAAATATTATTGTTACCTACTGCAAACGGATTTGAAAAAATTAGTTCCTTGTTAAAAAAAGCTGCATTGCAACAAAAGTCATTCAAAGCTAGCTGGAGGCAGAGCTGTTGCCTTACAAACATCTATGAAATATTTTTAGTCCAGAAACCTTGTTCTCTGAAATGTTTTAAATTTATCATAAATATTGATACTGCAATATTACCACTGAATTCAATGCTTGGGAGAAAACTAATCTAATGTGCTTCCAGCCTAATATGCTTAACCTAATTTGTTCTTCCTTTATTGAAAATCAGACGCGTGTATGAGAGGCAGAGTTGATACTGTGCGCTTCTAGATCCCAAGGGACTTAATTTTTTTTTTTTAAGGGACCGCCTTGTAATCAAGTTATATTGTTGTATGC